ATAGTGAAAGTAGAAGTAAAGTTAAATTACTCTGATTTTGCGACTGTTATTGGATTATAAGAGGGCCTTTTTGTGTATCATCAGACACCCCTCTAGACGTCATCAGTAACCTTACAGGGGAAAGTACGGTTACGGATGAATTGGGCCACACCGTTAAGGGGATATCCCTTCACTTAAACTGCACATGGCAGAGTAGAGGTGTGAAATATGGGTTTGATATTGCATTTGATGCATAGAGCACTTATTGTATTGCAGTGGGAAAACAGGCATGATGATGATATTGTGACTAATGAAACTTGAATACAGCTTGGCCGACTCACTCTGATCATTTTGAGGGTACTGCGATGGGCCCTGACAGGTCAGGACTCATTTGAGATCCAAGAAAACACATCAATAGACAATGTGCAGTCTTGTGTTTGCTTTCTCTCTTACTCAGTCGTATATCATCAAGTGCTGTAAAACCTCAACTGGGTAAGTTATCAGAGCCCCTATGTACTGCTCTTGACAGCTGATATCACACACACAGACTAATAGGATGAATTGTTGGAATGAATAATTCATTTTCTACACTCGCATAGCTACCTGTTCAGATTTCAACTTGCACAGTGCGTGACCCTGACTTGAACTTGTGGCCCTGAGTGTCAGTGTCCCACACCAGACTCTAATGCATGTCTCAGTTGTGCCTCGCAGATTTGGAGACGGCTCTGCAATTGGCACTCTTTTAATATGTCAAGTAGAGTTCATTAGTTTACAAGTGTATTGTAAATTTACTGTAAATCATTATTATGAACTTGATTCTTTTAATTTAGACAAACTTAACTTTGACAGGAATTTCTAGTTTTCCAGAATGCTTTGCCATGCCACTTGAAAGGGAGAGTAAATGCTAAAATGAAGTGTTATATAATGTTTTTGTGCAGTGGGATAGTGTGTTTAACGTTTTGCTATGCTAATTTAGACAAGTTTCTGTTATGTTGGGATTTTTGAAAGGGTTATCATCATGGTGACGAGTGGAGCATGAGCTTGGATTTATTCATGCTAATGATATCAAAGCATTGTCAGCAATTCGCAAGTTATCAATTACTAAATTTGCCAGTTAAAGTGGGCCAAGTTTCCACAACTAAAAATATTTAAGTTGGGATTACATGATAATTTTAAGTTAAATGTGTGAGGAACTGATTACCTCAAGTATTTTGAGTTCGACAACTTATTCTTAGGTTTGAATTTTTTACTATTTAAAGATCCCATTGGTCGTTTCATCAACGGCACTGACACTGAAGAGCCCCGGACGACAATTTTATCCCTTAAAACTCATTTTTGATCACACTCAAAAAAAATTATATGTTGGCTTTAATTTTTTTTTTTTTCGTCAACAGGTTCCACATTATTGGATCATGTTAAACAAACATAATTTGTTCATGTAACTTCAACATAATGGAATGAAGTAAATTTAAATTACCCAATTTAAGTATTCTCAACGTGATTTTTTAAAGGCTTCCTGACATGATTCAAAGGCATTTTGTTATTTTCATTCATCCATTTACATCTAATTTGATTCAGTGACATTTAATTAAATTGATAGACTTTAGCTAGCTATTTGCTAACAGTGGCATATGTTAGCATCTTGAATGCTAAGATCTACATGCTCCTTCATTCAAAGCAATAGAAAATAATTAAATCAGTCGACAGTCAAACAAAATGCTCCACTCTTCTCCACAATGGTAACCTACTGTAATTTAAATGGTTTCCTATATGTAATTTAACATTAAACACTATCACACACTATCAAGTCTTCCCCTTTTCTAAATTTCTCAAAAAAAAAAAAAAAAAAAAACATAAAATAAAACTTAATTTTAACATTTATTCTCTCTTAATTCAACCATATGCAAAGGGAACTAAAAGCACTGCTCAGTTTCAGTTAATGCAACACAAATCAATCATGTAATCCAACACAAACGGATTAAGTAAACTTAAGTTGTTTGTAGATTTAAGCAGATTGAACACAATAAAATTAAGTTCAGGCAAAATGGCAGTTGTCTCGCTCTATACTGCCACCCTCTGGATGTACACTTTTTTTTACTTAACATTAATGGTTTGTGTTTAGACAACACATTAGGATTTTGTACTGTTAATTTGAGACACAATTAGACCTTAATAGAAAAAAAACCATTTAAAGTCAAAAAACACAATTATTATATGAAAACTATATATAAATATATCATGTAAAGTGCACATTTTTTTTGATATTTAAATGTTTTTTCCTTGAAAATAGATTTAATGTAACTACACCCTTGCCTCATTTAGTATACGCAATTCTATAAATATATGCAAATGAGCCCCGTCTCCGCTCACTCATCCACTCATTGACGATCACACGTTGATCTGATTGGTCACAAGGTCGTTTGTGACGTCAGAAACACCAGCGATTTCAAACCGTGTTTTTTGAGACTGTCTTTGGTTCGATGCAGTTTTAAGGAGAAATACTCAGCAATGCTGTCGACTTTGTCTTAAAGCACATTAAAAACATTACATAGACATGTGAACAAACTTGATTTTTACCAAACGGGGACTTTAAGATAACACAAGATAAATTGCAGTTGTAAAAAAATGAACTCTATAAAACAGGTCTCAATAAATATTTTGCATATGTGAAATGTAAAACAATTTTTTTTTTTGGAATATGCCCTACGTATTATGTTTTGTAAAGTATAGACTGTTCATTTTGCTCTTTTGGAATTATTGGTGCTCCAGCGTCGCTTTGTCTCAAAAGCACTGAGTCAGTACATGTCTCCCTAGCAACTAAGTACAACAGGAAGTTATGCAAATACCAAGTGGAGTTTGACAAAGGTTTTCACGTCCTGACCAGAGACAGAACGGAACTGAGCGTCCCACACCACACACAGATTTGACACTTGGGCAAGCTTTTCTCTAATTACTGACAAAGCAAGTACCCTTTGTAACACTGACAGCAGATCTTCAGTTTCAATATAACGAGCAGTAAGTCAGAACGTCATCTGTAATAGTGTTGGGCCCTTTCAGGTGCACACAAGCATCCTGCTCCATTAAAGTTAGTGTAAGCGAACCGCACACCCTCAATTCTCTACCTGCATAATCTTTCCACCTGCTGTGGGATGTTCTGAAACACCTGTAATAAACCAGAAGAGCTTGGTTAGCTGGTTCAGGTGTATTTGGCGAGAGCCGGAACATGGATAGAATGACCTCACCGGGGAAAGCCTTTCATATGTGAATCAGCCTTTCACAGAAAATGAGTAATGGAACAATGATGTACGTATATATCTATTTAGAAAGCACTGTAGAGATTACATGTAATGTTTGTGAAAATGTTCTCTTTTTATTTTTAAATTGCCCTTGGTAGAAGAGGGTTCAATTGTATCACCCTTTGAGATTTCACTCTGGTTTGGTTTTGTCCATATTGAGATTTTGAATGTTCAACATTTAAAAAAAAAATAAAGGTTCTTTATTGGGATTGATGATTCCATGGAACCTTTCCATTCCACGAAAGATTCTTTAGATTATTAAAATGGGTCGCACTTTATTTTGTATTATGCACTTATTATAGTAATCGCAACAAATAGGTACTAACCCTGAACTTACCCTTACCCCTAAACCTAACCTTAACCCACCTATTTTGTCAGGCATGTTGTAAAATAAAGTGCAACCTTAAAATGTTCTTCACACTAAAGCATGTTTTTTTTTTTGTTTTTTTTTTTTAAAGAACTGTTCACTGAAAGGTTCTTTGGGGAACCAAAAAAAAAAAAAAGTTCTTCTGTAGTATTCCTGTGTAAAATACCCTTTTTGGAACCTTTGTACATGAATAAATCTACCTGTCCAATTTAATGCCAGAAAACAAAACAAAAAAACACCATTTTGTTTTACAGTAACCAAGTGTAAAACAATACAGTGATGATATACCATTAAATGATATAATGTCAATACCAACGTTTGCTACTGTAATAACATAATTGGAGATTACATGAGGACTTTAAGATCATAAAAATGGAAGTACTGTGGCTATTAATACCATTAAGACAGAACTAGTGTCACCCACACAAATGCAAAACACTATCAGAGTAACACACAAAATAAAGCAATTATCACACAACCAATAATGCTGGAATAGTGAATATCAGCATGACAAAGCCATACTGATATCCAGTACGTTGGATGATTATGAGGATGCAATTATTATTCTTTAAAAAATCACGTAAATATTAACATTTCACACAGAATTTGGCCAAATGCATGTTGGAACCCACGGCAGCAAACTGAAGTGCACCAGTTCTGTTATGTAAAATACCAGCACTCTTGATATGTCGGACCAATCCAGATTAAAGGAGTGGAAAATTGCATGCAGTGAATTTGGCCATCAATCTTCATAATAATGAGATTCATACATTGTGCCATTAGTAATAGTTTTCTGTAAATAATAATAATGTTTATCGTATAGCCAAACTGAACACATTTTTCCTCATAGCCTTTAATTAATACTTAAAATACAACGATTTTAAGTGTATGTATTGCCTTGTTAAATGCATATTCTTTTAAATTCATAGATTTTACTTTTAATTTGACAGTAAATGCTGTTGTCTTATTTTTACGTTATGTGGTAAAGTAAGCAATTAACAGGTTTTTGCATTGGCATCCCCCCCCCCCAATGTATAAACTCCTGCTTTTGAGGCTGAAAGCGACGGCGGAATCATCATCATCATCCTCATCCTCATCATTCACATTCATTCATCGCGCTCAATGCATCAAAGGCAGAGTCCTCGTATGCAGGTCAGAGGATGATGAACATGATGTAGCTAATACATCTGTCACAGAGCAGGTCAATGGATGCATTGGATGAGAGCTCATCAAAGAGGAGATGACAGCTCTCATATGATCTGACCACCCTAGATAGGCTACACCAAGCAAAAGCCCAATGCACGCGCGTCAGCAGCAGCACACAACCGGCTCATTATTCCCGAACGTTTCCTACTTACAGGGGCTGTTGTGGGAGAAGCGTGCTCTCCTGGGCGAGTAGGATTCGTTCAGATCCAGTTCATACGCGGAGGCGATGAGCACGGCGAGCAGCAAAAGTCCGGTCCTTGGCGGCATCTCTCACTAAATGACACTGGGGGGCTTCTATGAAGGGCGATAAAAGAGGATTTCCTTTAGGTGTTGTTGCGCGGTGTGCGGTTGAGGAAATGCGTGTGATATGTGGGCAGTATCATGAAGGCTCCGTCTGTCTGTCCGGCTGATCTCTTCTTCAGCAGTTTCTTCTTCCAGCCGCGTGCATGACAGGAGCGCAGGTCGCGCTTTATATGTGCCCGAGCATCACGAGCTCGCCGCTCAGCCCAATCACATCACAGCAGGCGCTCTTGCACACAGCCAAAGCGCAAACTTTCATTCATTGATCCGTAGCATTTAAATGGGCTTCTCGTAGGGCTTAAAGTTTGCTGTTCCCTTTGGTGATTGAGGAAAACGCTCACATCCTCGCGCACTGTTGTTCTATACAAATAGATCCACTTCAGAGAGACAGACCTGAGCTTGTCTCATTCACAGAGCTTATGTGTGATTTAACTCAACTTTACCCTATACTGAAAAAAATAAATAAATAAATGCTGCTCTCCCAGTGCACAGACAACATATACTAGGTTATATTGTGGAACTTATGCTTCTCTGTCAATTCCTTACAACCAAGGGGGAAAAAAAACATTCTTAGATGGTTTGCTTTTGCCCAAAAGTGGCCAAACTCATTTAAAACCAGCAACGAAACCTCCTCATAATTTCAAAAAGAGAGTTAAAATTAAGATTTTAATGAGTGGAATTGCCTAGTAGACAACATGGCATCCATAACCCCCTTCCTGTTAGTAAATCTCATTACTCGCTTTGAACAATGAGAGCTTGTTTTTCTTTATCTTTTTGTTTCATTCAGTAATCCATCTAGCCTATTATATTACAGTCTACACAAGCTTTGGCACTGTGTGATTACCAGGATCGTGTTTTAGTCAAATGTATTGCGTTCTTTGTTTTTCTTAACTGTCTTTGAGAAATAACATTTGGAGTTATTCAAATGACTCGCATTTTTATCGCTTTGGCATTTTGATGGACCCTCTGCTATAATGGCGCTATTGTCGGTGAAGCAGGCGGAATTGTCTCTAGCTGAGAGATAAACTGCGTAGTTATTGACACAAATCGTGTGGCTCACGGAAACCGTCATTGTTGACTTTACGCGTGTAACTCGCGGGCTCAAGCTCGCGCACGGCGCACGTGCAGAAGCGCACGCGTGATGTGACACTGAAGACTGAGCGTCAAGATTCGCCCAAACTGCACAGTCATGGTTTGGTGAGAAAAACTGCGCATTTTAAGGAAAATGAAAGAAAAGTGTTTTATTCTGAACACCTTTTAATTAATCACTGGGGCTAGTTGATCCACTTTCACCCCACAATGTTTAATTTGTGAAATTCTATATCACACACCTTGATTTTTTTTTTTAACTAGCCTACAATAAGCTATTCAACTGCTCCACCTTAGTGTCAAGGGGAAAAAATATGAATTTCGGACATGCTGACTTGTGTTTTGCTTGTTCACAGCAATATTTAAAAAGCACTATTAGTATGACCCACAACGGCAAATACAGACATTGTGCAAAATGATCAATTGACCAGGAACGAGGTTCACTCTAAACTTTATTAAGATCACCGGTTATTATGCCATTCTTCATCTGCTGAGTAACGCAGTCTGCATCTGAGCTCTTTTCCCATCTGTGCGTGTGGTACTTCCAGCAGGTGTTTCCAAGTGAAAACACCATCAATGGATAGTGAGTCATGAATGGATTTGTGCCTCACCCCCTACTTATAGATCACCACATCCTCTGCAATGCCATCAGATGATTCACAAGGTCTTATCTACTTATTTTGCCTTGGTGAAACTGTTTGACAGGAGCACAGTGAAAGAGACCTCATCCGCATCATTTATCAAATCACATCACAGCACCAGTGGTCCTGATATACATATATTTTCAGCCTTTAACTTTGTGGTTAGACAGTGGTTGTACTTGATGCTGCATTAACTTGCTAATATGAAACCCTGCTTCGTCAAGACTCAATGCACTTCTATTTTCCTAATTTCATGGTGGTTAAAGAATCAATCAGGAAAGGTCAATCTCTTGTCACTCACATTTAGCCAAAAACAGATGAGACTCGAAGCTCAGTAACTTGCCAATCAGAGGTTTTTAGGTTGTAGTACTTTTTTCTTCTTTACAGATTCCATTAAACTGTTGGGCTGTATTTTTTGTCGAAAACAAGCTTTTTAAAGGATGTTTTTAAAGCCTTTTAGTGTTCAGAGGTTTGTTTTATGGTAGGTCTCGAGTTTGATTTATTGCGACAACGAATGTATCGGTCTTCTCAACTTCTAGTGGCCTGCTTCATTTGTCAAATATCCTGACAGCTTTAAAGTCCCCCTGCAGTCAATCATTGCATCCCTTAAAACTTACATCTTTGATCACCAAAATGACATATTTAAATGTTTTTTCCTTGAATTTCTTTTTGGCATGCCTCCAAGTAGCTTGAATGTAACTCGATACCCTTGCCTCGTTTAGTATACGCGGTTCTATGAATATGCTAATGAGCCCCGCCTCCACTCACCCACTCTGGTTGACGATCACACGTTGATCTGATTGGTTGCAAGGTCGTTTGTGACGTCAGAAATAACACAGTCTCATCCCAAAAAGTCATATAACTGACGTCTTGGGACGTCTTTTGACCATACGTCAATATCCGCCTTTTTAGGGTCCCCTTAAACGTCGGTAGATGGCGATCCCGGGCCGTCATACAACTGACGCTTTACCTTTAACGTCAGTTAGGTGACGGGTTAGGTTTAGGGTTGGTTTAGGTCTGGGGTAGAGTTAGGATCCCATAACCTCATCTACTGACGTTTAAGGGGGCCCTAAAAAGGCGAATATTGACGTATGGTCAAAAGACGTCCCAAAACAGTCAGTTATATGACGTCTTGGGATGAGACCGGGTTGTCAGAAACACCAGCGATTTCAAACCGTGTCTTTGGTTCACTGCAGTTTTAAGGAGAAATACTCAGCGGTGCTTTTGACTTATGAATTTACACATGGTTTGCCTTAAAGCAAATGAAACACACACCACATAAAAATATAAACAACATTAAACGCTCGCCACAGGTGGACAAGTTCAACACACTGCAGACAAATCAAGCGTCGTGTCTTCTCCGAGAATGTTAATTCTTGAATTCTTTCAGTGATTTATTGCAAGTATGGCATGCCTCAAAGTAGCTTGAATGTAACTCGATACCCTTGCCTCATTTAGTATATGCGGTTCTATGAATATGCTAATGAGCCCCGCCTCCACTCACTCACTCAGCTCAGAGATCCACTGGTTGACGATCACACGTTGATCTGATTGGTTGCAAGGTCGTTTGTGACGTCAGAAACACCAGCGATTTCAAACCGTGTCTTTGGTTCACTGCAGTTTTAAGGAGAAATACCTACCCTATCTCACGACCAATTCGTACGAATTCGTACGAGTGATTAAAAAGTGGCTAATTTGTACGACCTCACTCGTACAATTTGTCTAAACCCACGTGATGGTTAGGTTTAGGGGCGGGGTCAGGGGTAGGTAATTCGTACGAATTCATACGAATTGGCCAATTCGTAAAATATGTAGGATTTACTTAGCAAAATCATACTAATTCGTACGAGTGAGGTCGTATGAATTGTTACGAATTAGCCACCTCGTAAAATTCGTACGAATTCCTGCGAGATCAGGTTGGAAATACTCAGCGATGCTTTCGACTTTCGAATTTACACATGGTTTGTCTTAAAGCAAATGAAACACACACCACATAAACATTTAAACAACATTAAACGCTTGGTTTTCACCACAGGTGGACAAGTTCAACACACAGCAGACAAATCAAGCATCGTGTCTTCTCCGAGAATGTCAATTTTTGAATTCTTTCAGGAATTTATTGCAGGTAAACTGGTCTTTAGGCCAATAAATGGCAGTATGGTACAAAACTGTGCTAGTCTGTTATTAACTGAGCAATTAGAGCATCAAAATTCATTACATAATTTAGTTCTACAGCATTTTTACATTTATTTAGCAAGGTGAAGAAAGCATTTCAACAAACAAGATGGATTTGGGGAGAGTATTGGGAATTTTCCTTATCACATAGGGCCATTTTCCTGGGATGCGTTCCACTCCAAATTTTTACATCCTTCACTCGCTAACTTCCCTCAGTCTCTGGACTAGGATGTGCGTCAATGCTTACGTTGCACGAGTGCCTACTACTGGTGAAACTCGTGCATTAAGTTTAAATGGAAAGTACTGAGCCCTTGATCACTTGGAATTCACCATTTAAACTCCGATTCAATCAAAATATTTAAAGTGCCCCTGTGGTGAAAACCAATTTTGTAATGTTGTTTATGTGGTGTTTTTAATGTGCTTTAAGACAAATCATGTGTAAATTCATAAGTCGACAGCATTGCTGAGTGTTTTCTCATTAAAACTGCAGTGAACCAAAGACAGTCTCAAAAACACGGTTTGAAATCGCTGGTGTTTCTGACGTCACAAACGACCTTGTAACCAATCAGGTCAACGAGCCGGAGGGCTTTATTTCGTTAACAGCGAACTAGCAGGGGCGTCTCGAAGGAGATGCTAGGCAATCCCGGTGTATTTTTTTGTCGATATGAAAAATCAGGTCGATGTTATGATGAACTATAAGACTTTCTCCACTGATGTGTTTAAAGAAATTTCTGGTGATTGTTAGACGGCAGAGTGAGATGGCGAATGGGAACATGGTTTGTGTGACATTAGCAACACATTATTAGCTGTATGATAACATCAAGCAAAAGGCTAATCATATGAATTGTCGTTATGTGTCCTACTTAGTAAAGAGTGATACCATTGTGCAGCGTTTGCTGTGGCTGAGTGAATCTCTGAGCTGATGTGAGTGAGTGGAGGCGGGGCTAATAAGCATATTTATGAGTCCGCATATACAGCCCGTTCTCATCCCAAGGCATCATCTAACTGGCACTTTTGACCATGCGTCAACATCTGACGCACATGGCACCCTTTAGCGTCAATATGAGACGCGCCTCCTAGTGGTCTAACCCTAACCCTACCCCAGACCTAAACCTACCCGCGTCATCTGACAGCGCAGTCTCATCCCAAGACGTCATTTAACTGATGTCTTGGGACGTCTTTTGACCACGTCAACATCCGCCGTTTTAGGGTACCCTTTAACGTCGGTTAGA